ACACGTTGGGCGCTGAGGATCATCTCTTCTTCCCCATCTTTGCAGGATAAAGACTTTACTAGGAAAGAAAAGCGGCTTCAAGCAAGCAGCACTGTAATGCTGGGGCTGTAAAAAAGCAGGGAGGAGTTGTTCCCCCACAAAAAAATTTATCACGTCTACAAGAATCCTGTACAGACAGTTTTCAAGTGGCAGCACCAAGGTTGCAGGGGTAAATCGTGGAAATGCCCTATCTTGATAAGTTTTCCCCTCACTGCTTTTTTTCTTCTCCGTTGTTATTTCCACAGGGAGAAGATAATTTCACTTACTGTCCAGCAACTGGCCTAGCTAAAGGAAATGAGCACTCGGAATTTGCTGGCTGGGCATTTCCATTTCCAGGGGTGTTTCTCATGGAGGAGTTCATTAGTGAAGATGAAGAATCTGAGATGGTTGAACTGATGGATCGCGATGACTGGAAACCATCACAGTCTGGCCGAAAGAAACAGGTTTGACTTTAGAAGCACATTTGTTCTTAGACCCTTCTGGAAAAGGAAAGCTGTTTTCAGTTAAAACACAGAACTTTTACATGTTTCATTAAATGTTTTCCTTTGGAAGCTTTTCCTGAAACCAATTGCAAGAATTACTTGTAATTAAAGGTAACTTATTGCAACAATTGTACTTCAGATGGAGTTCACACAATCTCCAAGTGAAAGAAGTGGGTGTTTTTACTTTACAGGTGACCAACCTAATTCCAGAGAGATTAATGTAGCTTCACTGAGCCCTTTTGCAACCTGGTGACCAAGTCACTGGAAGAGATGAGAACTCAAAAGTCTTGACCACAAGCCCTGTAGGAATCACAGCCTCGCCAAAAAGATTTGTTCCTGATTTTTCCTTAACACCAGCTCTTCTCCTCCTTTTTTTTCCCCACCAGGACTATGGACCCAAAGTGAACTTCAAGAAACAAAGGATGAAAGCTGGCAGCTTTACTGGTTTGCCAAGTTTTAGTAAAAAGATCGTGGCACAAATGAAGTCCTGCTCTGTACTAGGCAGTTTCTTACCTGTTGAACAATGTAATCTGGACTATGTGCCAGAAAGAGGTTCTGCCATCGACCCACATTTTGATGACTGGTGGCTTTGGGGAGAGCGTCTGGTTAGCTTAAACTTGCTCTCAAAAACTGTGCTATCCATGTCTTGTGATTCAGAGGACAGTATCCAATTATTTCCAACTTTCAGTAAAGAAAATGGGGAATTAAGTCCCCCTGGATCTTCTACACAGACGTCAGCATGCAAAAATTCAGGCGAAGAGGGAATCAACTGCACTTTATCCCCAAAGCCTGTTCTAAGTAAAGAGGTGACTGTTGCCATCCACTTACCCCGAAGGTCTCTGGTGGTGCTGTATGGTGACGCACGGTACAAGTGGAAACACGCAATTTACCGCAAGCATATAGAGCATCGCCGAATCTGTGTCACGTTCAGGGAGCTGTCTGCAGAGTTCAGCGCTGGAGGAAGGCACGAGGAACTGGGTAAAGAACTGCTAGAAATAGCGCTTTCATTTCAAGGAAGACCAGTGTGATCAGAAAGGAAACCACAGTTGTGTTTTGTTTGGAAATTTGAGAAATAAAGTACACAATTTGCATGACTGTTTATTTCTGAAGTGTGGGTAAGGAACCAGGTGTGTACAGAGATAAACTCAATCAAATGGGAATTTAACAAACAAAAATAAGAGAGTGCAAGGAAGGGGTGGGCTCCTTGTTTCTTCAAAGACTTCTGGGCAAAGGGAGCTTTTATGCAAAAGTCAGAAATGAGCTGTTGTATTCATTAGCTGTACTGTAACAAAATGCAATAAGCAAATAGCCAGTCTTTAAACACTTAAATTAAACCAAGAAATAAACTGAGACTCATTAAACTGAGCTAAGTATCAGACTGCCCTTGGTACAGATTCAGCCCAAGCCCTGCAGCAGATTTTGACCTTTCCTGGCCCGTACTTGATTCCGTCATACTGCTCTTACTGTTGCACTGTGCTGCAGAGACACAACTATCTTCAGGTCCTTTAGAGATCAGGTCTCCAGGGGAGGAAGGTAAGCAAGCATATCTCCACAGATAGCACAACACACCGAGAACTAATTAAAGTAATTATCCTTTGCTGAAGATTCATGCTCTCACCATGAGGATTAATCATAAATACCGTGTGTGACCTATATCTTCTGGGACCAAAGAGCAGCACTTGCGGAGGGCTGATGCCAGCTCTTCCACAGAGACAACTTGGACAGAGTTCAGACAAAAGACTTGCACAGACTGTGTTATTTTCTGATCATTTGTCACCCCTGAACCCTGCTGTCAACTCTCAGTAGCAAGAGTCTGATTTTGGGAATAAGCTGGGCAACAGACTGCAGCACTGGCATCTATCATTTTTTTCCTTGGCACCTCCAGCAGTCAGGTTTGAATCATGCCTTGTACCTAAGATTCAAGGAGTCATTTGTCACAAGCTAATCTGAGGCCATCTGTCTGCTCGGAACAAACTTCTGTGCTCTTGAGAATGAAGCTGTGCCGGGGAAGAAGTGTGATCCTTTAATAAACGCAGTTGTGTCATCAAAACCATTCGGCACAGTCACACCTACAGTAATAAAAGAACAGTTCACAATGCTCCCTGGTTTTGGTTGGTAAGGAAAGTGGACACACACACACATTACGTGGGATCTCACTTCCCTTCCCAGGTGTATCCTGCCCTGACAGTAATTCCTTGGCACAACGCACAGGTTTTACTGTATAGCGATGCACTCATGCTACAGACATGGCCCTCTGCTTCAGGCACTGCAGGGGAGGGAGCTCTTCACCCAGCAAAACAGATACTAGCAATCGGCTGGGTGAATCAGGATGGTTTTTACCAGTTTAAGCTGGCAGATACCACCACACTCCTTCCTGGCTGCAGTGAACCAGTTTCAGTTCAGCCCCATATTTAACCAGTTGTGGACATGGTCTACGTGATAATTCCAACAGGGACCTGTGAGCAGGGCTCCCACGGGCAGTCCTAAACCCCAAACCTCCATCTGGACCCGCTGCCGAGCATCCCCTGCAGTTTTGGCAGTCACAGGATGCCCGCTCGGATGGACACCCATCACTGCAGACGCAGTCAGCTAACATGCACCAGCCTGGCCACGCTTCTCACAGCGAGCTTTACTCCGGGAAATTTCTCATCAGCTGCAACTTCTCTAGCTCACTCCCAAAAGCAGGGCCTCATGCTCTCAAAATAGCATTTCCTGACCTTTTTCCAGCAGACTGGTGTAATCAGCACCGTGCCATTGGTGCCTGCAGGGCTCAGAAGCCGTGGGGAGCGTGATGTCCCCAGGCCAGCTCAGTGTCCCACCCGGAGCTGCCATGGGAGCAGAGGACCTGCGGCCAAGCTGGAGGACATGGCTGGTGGCCCGCTGGAGCACAGCACGAAGCCACACCAGGGCAGGAAACCCAGGGCAGGCTGTTATCAGTACAGCAAGCATTGAGCCCGTATCCTCATCATCCCTTCAGGACTGAGCCTCTCCAGCAATCTGCTCTTTGCTCAGCAACCTGCGGCAACCAAGTATTTCCATTAATGTTTGGCCCTTATTTCCAATGCTCCCTTTTACATTGTGCTCTCAGGCTGTTAAAATACTTTCTGTGTGCGTACCTGCTGCCTCATTCTCTCCGCAGTGAAAGCAGATGATGGCTTCTGATGAATCAGAGTGCCACAGTAATGAGATACACCCTATTAGTTCATTTTGTGCTCTGCATTTGTTAGCTCAATTTTTCTGTCTCTATTGAACTATCTGGGAAGCTGCTGTTCTTCCCAAAAAATTGCAGCTCTTCCTGGCTGATATCTTAAATCTGAAAAAATGCAAATAATTATATACTGAGCCAAAACCTGGGAGCTTTGTTTAGATGTTTTTGAAGTCCAACACTTCATCTAGTCACTACACAGTCATTGCTATGTCCATCTCCTGACATTTTTCACCTGTTAAACAGCCTCTTGGGCATCATCTTCGATCAAAATGCAATTACACACCCATCGGCTCTGTATTACTTTCTAAAACTTTATGTACATTCTCTTCTTAAAAGCCAGAATCGCAGTGCTGCAGAACATCAATTGCTTTGGACTGTCAGGTATCATAGACATCTGAGAAAAGTATACAGGTTTTAATCTTAATTAATTAGATTTTGAAAGTAATTTTGGCTACTATGCTAGCATTATTAATGTAAGAGAAATTTTAATGGCGTTGTAGGAATTCCTGTCACAGTTGTTTATCTCCTTAACCAAGATTAGCACATGTAAAACACACACCAAGAACCAGGCCCTCATTAAAAGGAAGCACATCTAATTGTTATCAGCTTGTGTATGTTAAGAGGAGGAGGAGAATATCTGACCAAGCTTGTTTTAAAGAAAGGCAAAATCCAAGTTAACCCATAGAGGATGCTGGAGGACTTGCGCTGCTTTTCAACACATCAGTCTGAAATCAGCAAGAGGCATAAAACTCTGCAAGTTTATCCAGTTTCTCTCAGGCAGCTGGACAATTACTGAGATACAGACATCATTCTACATTAAATATTGTTCACGCAGAGATAAAACAAATATAGACAAAGCTAAAATACAGATTTTTTTTTTTTCTCCTAGCACGTGGCACTCATCGTTGCTACAACCCTGGGCAGAAGGCAAGCTCCCAGCTGCACACATGGGCATTTGCGGGGATGCTTTCCAAATCCAGCCAGTCAGTAATTACTGAAACTGCTTCATTTGAAATGGGGATGGAGGAGACAGCCTGCAAGAAGTTAACCAGAAAATAACCACACTGGCCCAGTTATGCCAGGATCTGAATTTGAGGTTGTGGCTTTGCGGGGGTTATTGAGGAAGCCGTCTTAAAACTAGATGCAACAAGATTGAGAAGATAACAAAGCTACAGCAGCAAGGAAACTGTTTTAAGGCAGGCAAGGAAGAGAAAGACATTATGAAATCCCACAAAAAGGCAAGAGGAGAATGTGAAGTGCCAGCCACCAGCTGGTCACCCTGCACCCCCATCCCTGTGGCAAGCCGGGATTGCCCGTTGCCGAGCCCCAGCGTCAGGGAGCCGAAGGATGTTTGCTCTGTGGCTGCACCCACCCCGCCAGCTCTCTATAAACACTTCCACATATTTGAGCGCTTACCGCAGAGTGCGCTCCACCCGCGGCTCTCGCACAGGATCGCTTTCAGTCATCACGTGGGGCAGGCTCAGATGGTCAAATCCAACATCTCCATCTCCCCCAGCTGTAAAGCTTCCCCAGAGTCACAGATCCACAGAGCGGCGGGGCAGCAGCTACCCGAGCCAGGCCTGCCCCAGGGCGACGTTAAAAATAGGGCGCTCGCAGAGTCAGAGCTGCCATGAACCACAGCAAAGGGAGAACCCGATACTGCTCCGGCTCCAGCAGCTCCCTCCGGCTCGCATTCGTGCCCGGTCTTGACTCCTGCTAACGAGGGATGAGAGAGAGGAGTTGCCACTCAAAACAAGGCTGATGCCCAGGAATGATATGAAGCGGGGCTGTAGCCCTGTCACCGACAGCTCCTGCCCTGCTTCAGGAAGGGTCTTTGCAGGGCAGGAGCCTGCAGAGACATTTTTCTGCTGGGCAAAAACTGTCCAGAAACAAAAAAAATCTTAAGGACGACTCAGGAGCAAGATTGTGGCTGTCCCCTGCAGCACGCCAGGGCAAGCCCCACTGCAGAAACTGGGAGAAATGGCCCAAGCAAGGCAGTAACTGGTTGGGAGAGTCGCAGACTAAGGGAGCTGGGAATTAGGGCAAGAGCCACCCCCAATGACAGCACCCCAGGGCCCACGGCTGGTGCAGAAAGCTAACACACGTATCCAGAAATCCTCGATGCACATCCCAGCCCAAGGGCAGGACCTTTGGGAGAAGCATCCCTGTGCAGGCACTGCAGGAACGGAGCCACACGAAACCTGGGAGACCCCAGCAACGACTGACACGCTGGGAAAGAGAGAGGTGACAGCACAGGACAGCCCTGGCCACGCACCGTCAAGTGAAGCTGGCTGTGACAGTGCGCTGCCAGCCCCGCCAGGACACCAGCGACAGTGTGGAAAGGCAGGCATCTCCCCCCTTGACTGATGGGATCCTGCTGACAACCATGGGCCAGCAGCAGGAGCAAAGGAGGATTTTCTGGCGCTGGACCACAGGAACACCCATCTGGACAAGTACAACATCCCTGCTCCTTTACGGATCAACTACCGTGCCTGATACCAGAGGCAATCCTTCTGCAACACAAGTCTGGACCCAACAGCAGTGAAAATGTAAACAAGTTGGAGGAAGAGAGGCAGGAGCAAGAAAAACAAATGCTGTTGTTGGAAAAGAAGGAGAGTAGTTACAGCACAGAGGTGATGGGGAACCCAGAGAGATCCCAGACGCCAGAGTCAAAGAGCAAAAACACTCCCATGGGCTTCTTGTGGAAGGGAGAACTTGGTGCCCAGAGAGACACAAGAAACAGAGCTGCAAGCAAAGATAGGAAAACACACTATTATTATTATTATTCTGTTTTAAGCCCTTGAGACACCATCCCAAACTGTACCTCAG